AGGAGAGAAGCAGCTTCGAACTAAGGAGAAATGTCCTGACAGTTAAAACAATCAGTGGAACAGCTTGCCTCCAGAAGTTGTGAATGCCCCAACACTGGAAGTCTTTAAGAAGATGTTGGATAACCGTTTGTCTGAAGTGGTGTAGGGTTTCCTGCCTAAGCAGGAGGTTAGACTAGAAGACCTCCAAGATCCCTTCCAATCCTATTTTATTCTAAGAGGAAATGAGCAAATATTGGGTCTGTTATTCAGTATTAACAGGTAGTCCTTGATTTACAATCACAATTGATCCCAACATTTCTGTTGCTAAGCAAGAAAATTGTTAGGTGAGTTTTACTCCATTTTTGAGCTTTCTTGCCAGAGTCCTTAAGTGAATCACTTCAGCTGTTAAGTGAATCGTTCAGTCTCCAAACATATCTGACTTCCCCCATTGACTTTACTTGTCAGAAGCAGGCTGGGAAGGTGACTAATGGTGATCACACCGACCCTCCAGACAGTGCAACTGTCGTAAATACATGCCAGTTGCCAAGTGTCCAGATTTTGGTTTTGTGACCATAGGGATGCTGCAGCGGTCGCTAATGAGAAAAACTGTCATAAGTCCCCTTTTTCAGTGCTGTTGCAATTTCAAATGGTCATCGAATGAATGGCTGTAATTCGAGGACTATCTGTGTTGGAATGTTTGTTCCTTTTAGCTGTCGAGCATATGATTGTAGGCAGGCAGAATAAACAAATAACCTGACTATTTCGAGACATTTGATTCTCTTTTCTGGGGGAAAAGAGCCATTTGTTCTCCTAGAACAATGATGCTGAAAGGTGCACCTGCATGTCCCGGCCAGCTTTGGGTTTTCAGCCACAAACGGCCCGGAAAATGGCTCTGAAAACAGCCTATTTTGGGGGGGCGTTTTCCCACACTCCAGCGCCTATCAAGACCAGCTGGCCAGGGCACATGCACACCGGAAAGCAGATGAGCAGCTGGCGACAGAGCGCATGCCCACAGAGATGGCTCTGTGTGCCACCTCTGGCACCCGTGCCATAGGTTCCCCATCCCAGTCCTAGAAGACCCTTAACATGGGTCACATTTTAAAGTCTGAATTGGTGGAGATCTGAAAACTCTGAATGTTTCGCCTTGTTTCTTCCTCTTTTTTCCAGCCAACCCCTATTGGCACAATCCAGAGTGACGTACAAGTCCAGCCTCCAAACAGGGAGAAAGCACAGCAGTACATCAAACAGCAGGTAACTAGTGTTTGATTTATTGATCTATTGATCTCTTTCTTAGGGTTGGAATGTATTTAGGTGAGTAACTAAATGAGAGTCAGATCACAGCTTTGATTTGTGCAGCAAAAGCATAAGGCAAGGGTTCCCAATCTTGGCATCTTTTAAGAGGTGTGGACTTCAACTCCCAGAATTTCCCAGCCAGCCATGCCAAGCTGGCTGGGGAATTCTGGGAGTTGAAGTCCACATGTCTTAAAGTTGCCGAAGAATGGGAAGCTCTGGTACAAGTTATTCTGACAAGGGAGGCACAACCTGTAAAGGGAGGCTTGGTGCCACCTGGTGGACAAAGCCAGAGATATCTTTGTCTCCTGGAAGTGTGGCTAAAACATGGCTTGATGTGGAGACCCCTGTTCTTGATCCAGAGTAATGGTTCTTCATACTGATAATGGTTGGGATAGATGGTCCAGTTCTCTCCTTCAGTTTTGGACTTCAGCTTCCACAAGAGAGCCAGTTTGGCGTAGTGGTTAAAGCACCAGATTAGAAACCGGAAGATTGCGAGTTCAAGTCCAACTGTAGCCATGAAAGCCAGTTGGGCCAGTCACGCTCTCTCAGCCCACAGGGTGCTTGTTGTGGGGAAAATAGGAGGAAGAAGGAGCATTTGATAGGTCTGCCCTCTTGTTTATCAAAATGGTTCTTTATAAAAAATACCCTGTTTCCCTAAAAATAAGACCTCTCCAGTTAATAAGCCCAATTGGGCTTTTGAGTATATGCACTAAAATAAGCCCTTCCCAAAAATATAGCAACACAGCAGCAGCCATGTGGTGACCACACTTGCCTGCTTCCTGCACCTCAAAAATAATAAGACCTCCTCGAAAATGCCAAGCGCTTATTTCGGGGGTCAAAAGAAAATAAGACCCTGTCTTATTTGGGGGGAAACATGGTAATAAATGCGGGATATAATAAATAAATGAGTTCTAACTAGTATGGCCAGCAGAAAGATATCATGGGGGCTGTACATCAAAACATCTGCAGGGCTATCCTTAACTCTCACTGCACAGCAGGGTCATTTCCTACCCTGCCACCTTTAATTGGAGATGCCAAGATCAGAACCCAGGATTTTCTGCACAAAGGCAGATGCTGTACGTTTTTGGTACGGATATCCATTCTGCTGCCTTTCTCTATTGGTCTAATTGTCTAGCGACTGGTAAATCATAGTAACACTAACTGAGCCACCATTTTGGAAATATACAGGTGTTTCCCCCCCACCTCAATTTTTCTAGTCCTGCTGAGAGATGGCTCCCTGTGCTAGGAAAATGTTAGCAAGACTGGCGCCTGCCACTCTTTCTATTATTCTACTTTGCCTCTGATCAGTGGTGGGTTGCAGGTGGTACGTCCCGTTACAGGCGTTCCGGAGCCTGCCCGGAGCACAGGGTACCATTCCGGTATGGTTCTCCCGAGGGCCCACCTGAGCTCCTTAACTCTCCTTTAAGTCTGCGCCGCTTCCTCGCATGTGCACGGTGCATACATCATCTACGCGACACTCCGCCGAGCATCTGGAGCGTGACACGGAGGCTTGCGGAGGCGTCGCAGGCAGGTACGCACGTCCATGTGGGTGACGCCGGGCCCGTACCAGTTGGAACGGGATCCGGAACCCACCACTGCCTCGGATCTTTCATTGCAGCTTACAGAAGCCAGTGATTGGGTCTAGCCTAAGACCATCCACCCAGCATGTTCCTTTTGGATCTTTGGCCTGCCAAAATAAATCCCTTCACCATTGGCCAGGCTGATGGTGGTGTGTTAATGGCTTGTTCATTACAAGTTCCAGCCTTTGGGAAGCTTCTTCTAGAATAGTGATGATGGCAAACCTTTTTGGTACTGAGTGCCAAAAAGGGAGCACTTTGCCGAAAGGGAACACCGAGTGCCGAAAAGGGAGCACTTTGTGCGGATGTTCGTCTGGGCTGCAACCAGGAAGGAGTTGCCCAGGGGGCATGCACCCACCGGAAAATGAACTCCTGGTTTCTGGTGCGCACATGCAAGACAGCCAGGAGGTCCTCCGGTTACTGCTGCGCATGTGCACATGCTGATCAGCTGGCCGCTGCGCATGCTCCCGGCAGAAAACGGAAGACCAGTTCTGCTGCATGCATGTGCCCCAGAAACCCAGAAGAGGAACGGACGATGCACGTGCCAGGTGACATGGTCCCCGTGTGCTACTTCGGGCCCGTGTGCCATAGGTTCGCCATCACAGTTCTAGGACTTCCAAGGTGCAATAGTGAATTCTATAATGAAGGATCCCTTTTTTTTTCCAGTCACTCTATATATCACCAACTCTTTTTCTTGGAGGACCTACTGGGCTGGGCTTCAACATGGCCTCAGAGTTAGCACAGAGCGGCTAATAGGCAGAATATGGTTTAACCCACAATTAACCAAATGCTGTTTTAAACTAAAACCGCCATTTTCTCATCCCAGTATGGAGTGAGTTCTGTTTGTGCTGTATAGACGTCAACTCCCGAATTTCAGGAATTTGAGGTTGAAAAACACAGGTTTATATTAAAATATAATAAAACAACAGGCCTTTTGGCCATGAGTTGAGCTGAAGAGTGCAGTCAAAATGTTCAACAATCTAAGCTAGCTGATTAAGGCAGCCTAACGCCATCAAGACCAAATGCTCTGCAGAATACAGAAAGTATTAACACCTTTCTAACATGCAAGAGTTGGAGCCAAGGAAGATGTTTTAGAGGGGGTGGCAGACACGGAAAAGATGCCAGGCTCCCATCTCACTATTTCCTGTAGAGTGGAAATCTCCCATATTTCTTCCCTTAAAGTTCTCAGGAGTTAGAACAGTGTTTCTCAGCCTTGGCAGCTTGAAGAGGCCTGGACTTCCAACTCCCAGAATTTTCCATCCAGCTATAGAATCATAAGCATAGTTGCTGTTTCAGCTTAGCAACTGCTTCACTTAATAACTGAGTTGGTGGTCCCTATTGGGGCCACTAAACAAGAACTACTTCTATATACATCAGGATAAACTTTCCTGTAGGTGCTTGGATGCCATGCGGTATACAGCTTTAAAAGTTTTAATCACCCTTACTTTGCATTGGACTCAAAGCAAAGTAGGACTTGAAGCAAAGTTCCTATTTTTCGGAGTATAATGCTATAGAGTATCCTTTTCCCTCAAAAAAGAGGCTGAAAATCTAGGTGCGTCTTATACACTGAATATAGCATTTTTTGCCTCCCGAACCCCGCTCCCTTCACCAAAATGGCCGTATATAGCTTTTAGGAAGCTTTCAGAGTGCTCCTGGGGGCTGGGGAGGGCAGAAATGAGCAAAAAAGGCCTGGTTTTTTTGCTCAATTTTGCCCCTAGCCCCCAGGAACACTCTGTAAGCCTCCTAAAGGCTATGCATGCCCTTGTTTTGACAAAAATGGGTTGTTTTTTGCTTGTTTGTGCCCCTCCATTCTTCGGGAACACCCTACAAGCCTCCTAAAGCCTATTCATGCCCTTTTTTTAAAAAAAAAATGGGAGGTTTGCAGAGTGCAAAATCTTTTAAAAAAAATTTGACTCTTCAAAACCTTGGTGCGTCTTATACTCCGGTGTGTCTTATACTCCGAAAAATACGGTAGGACTTAAAGCAAAGTAGGACTTGCAGGCCACAAGTCTTAAAGAAGGAGTCAACATGGATTCTGCAAGGCTAAATCTTGGCTCACCAGCCATTTTGAGTTTTTCAGAGTGTCTGTTGTTAAGTTGAGGAGATGACCCTGGGCATGTTGTATATTTGGATTTCTAAAAATCTTTGGACAAAGTTTCTCATCAGAGGTTCTTTAGTAAATTTTAATGATTGTGGAACAGTAATCCCAAAACTTTGGGATTGGAGTATATGGTACTTTTTCTTGAAAGGCGGAGTATAAAAAAAATATGTTGGAACTAGCTTTTTAAACTTATTCATAAATGATTGTGAGGTAGGAATAAAAGGTGTGCCGATCAAGTTTGCAGGTGGTAGGAAGCTATTCAGTCCAGTAAGCACTTTCATTTTGAATTCCAGACAGATCACTCTGAATTGGGTCAGGCAGTGGTTTAATTTAAGGAAATGTAAAGTGACCCACATGGGGATTTAAAACAAAACAAAACTTAAGTTCATGAAGGCAGTTGGGGGGGGGGGATGATCTACTGTAAATAACCAAGAAAAAATCTTGGGTCATAAAGGAGAGTTGAATTAATGCGTCAACTCGGTATGTAATAACTATGAAAAAGGTAAATTCAGTGCTATGCATTATTAGGGAAAAAAACAGCTTGGTAATATTGCAGTGTGCTTGTATACAGATAGTCCTCGCCTTACAACTATTTGTTTAGTGACTGTTTGAAGATGCAGCGGCACTGAAAACATGCAAACAAGGTCATAAAATCAAACATGACTCTTAAAAACTGCTTTGATTAGCCATGAAAATTCTGGCGCTAATTGTGGTTGTAAGTCAAGGACTGCCTATAGATCTGTGGTTCATCTGCATTTGGTATTGTGTCCTGGTCACCATAAGAGATAAAACAGGACAAAGTGCAGAAGTAGCAACCAAAACGATTGAAGGACTTCAGAGCCAAAATACTTGGGATCCTTTCACTTAGCAAAAAAGGAGAGGGTTGTGATGTCTAAAATCATACATGGCCTAAAACAAGGATGTCCAAACTTGGAAACTTTAAGACTTTTGGATTTCAACTCTCAGAATCCCCCTGCCAGCATGGCTTTTCTCAGGAATTCTAGCAGTTGAGGCCCACAGATATTTTAAGTTACCATTCTCAAAACTTTAGGAACAAGGGACTACTCAATAAAGTGTTTGGAAAGGAAGCACTTCCTTACATTGTCATTAACATAAATTCATTATCATAAAACATGATGGTGGCTATTAACGTGGGTGATGTTAGTATTTATTAGCTGATAACCTGGCGTTGCCCAGGTTTTTTATTTATAGGGGGAAAATGTCGAGACCAAACGTAATTTCTAATGTTGGATTTTTCCCCCTTACCAGAGGGAGCCCCC